ATCTACTCTTGACGAACACCTGAAAAATAATGGTGGGTCAGGCTCACAAACAAGTTCTACTCTACTACAGTCCAAGCAGAGATTCGATACACATATATATCCTAATCAATCCAACAATAACTAGTAGTTCGTATATGTATAAATACACACTATAGGACGCAAACTAGTCCATAGGTCTATCTCAACCTGAATAGAAGGTAACATGCAAATCGTACATAAAGTGGGCATGTATACCTAGACCTACCAGGGGACCAGGTGTCTACTATGTCCAGTTATCCATCCAAGGCGATATACGCACCCTAACCATGATCCTGAGACTCAAGCTCATATCATAGGGGACCAGGATGGTTACTGGATTATATATATATATATATATATATATATATATATATATATATATATATATATATAATCCAGTAACCATCCTATCCAATATAAATTTATCCTCTACAAGTAATCCTCTATAAGTCATTCAACTTGTTCAGCTGACCTAACTTGAATATAAGTAAGACTTAACATTTTTAGTTAATCCATTCCCTTATACAAAATAGGTATGACTTAATTGATAAGTTAATCCATCCTTAGAGTACCACCATCCCATACTGGTGCGCTACATCCACACAATCTATTAGTTGATGTAACAATTAAAGAAATATATCAAATAATCCATAACCAAATATAATAACATAATATATGCTATCACAGAATAAGAACGACTTAAAATTTATTTAAGCTTCCTATATCATATTTTCTACACAAAGTGAATCTTACACATGCTGATATTTTATTATACAGTTAAGTAAGCATTCTCCATATCCAATTCATCCTACACATTTTATCTCAATTGTTAGAACAATTTAAATGATTAAATCCATTCGTTTATTTAAAACATTCAAATAGTAAGTATCGTTATGATCAAATCTATTTAAAATTTATTTAAACTCATACCTAGTCCCTATTTAATGTTCAGGACCCTTCAAAATCAATTAAGATTAATTTAAACGCTTTTACGTAAATTCTCCGGGTAAGGCTCGAGCTTTTATCCGAATTGCTCAAGCACCCTGTCCAAGGCTCGAGCTTACTCGAACTTTACATCCCAGGCTCGAGCTTTTCACCTATGGCTCGAGCTTTTCTTTCAAGGCTCGAGCTTCCTAACCATAGCTCGAGCTTTTTGTCCAATAGCTCGAGCTTTCGATCCATAGCTCGAGCTTTACATCAATAGCTTGAACTTTGTTTCCAAGGCTCGAGCACTGTAATAGTGGATCGAGTATTGCTACGCGATTCAACCCAGAAATCCTACTGTGAATTCAATTTTTATTGTTTAAGGAATCATAGGCATGTTTCTACGTTCTATCAATCCTTATATATGAAAAACATCATTTAAACATATAAAAATTCATAAAGGAATCAAATCAAATTCATGAATTTATCAATTCCTAAAATAAGAATAAATATGAACCAATTTCATAAAACCTATGTTCTAATCCAATTAAACATAGATAATTATTTAATTTTATGTGTTTAAGAAATTCTGAAATTTCTTAGGCATGTATAGAAACACAAATCAAAGAGAAAGAGAAAGAAGAAGAACTTGCCTTAAACTTTTGGATCAAAAGTTAAAATTCTTCCTTGACCTTTTTCTCTAAAGGGTTTTCTCCTCATTCCTTCCTCTTCCTCCTTCTCTCTCTCTCTAGAATATATTACATGATATATTTCTAACCCCCTTTTACAACCTATACCTATATATTTATAGGCTAAATAAAATAACGCTAATCCTTTTCCTAATCCAAGTTAACTTAATAAAAAATAAATAAATAAAAAATTTGAAAAGGTAACTTAAAATGTTACGTATATAATCTATGTATATTCTTATTAAATAAATAAAATATATACATCAGATTATATATGCATCAAATTATTTAATAATACTAAAGTTATCATAAAATTAATTAATAAATTACTTTCCCTTTTCTATATGTATATACATATATATCTATATATATATACAATTATCTATGGGTAATTATCCATACCCATCAAACCTCCTATTCAAGTAGTTCATGGGACCTAATTGATTGGCCCATTATTACTAACCATAATCATAAAATAAAATAAAATATTTAATTTACAATTAATCAAAACACCATTTAAGCACATAATCTAATTAAACAATTAACACATAGATAAATACAAATAACACATAGATACATAATCTAAATAATCAAATAACACTTAATTCAATTAAACACATAAGTAATTAGTCAAATAATCAATTAAATAATTAAAAATACAATTAAAACAAATAAATAAATACCGAGACATCCTTTTAAAATTAGGGTATTACAATACTTATCCAACAAGAATTGGGTTTGAAGACTCTATAAATAGAGATAGGTGTGAGAGGTTTAGAGAGAGAAAAAATATGTAAGGGATTTACAGGTGAGTGTTGTGAGGAGATGGGAGAATATATGTAATTCCCGAATGTATACATGTAACCTCAAAAGAGATGATGAGTGAGTGAATGGGATTTTGACATGTGATTGTATATTCTCTTCCTTGATTCATAATAATGAAATATCTCTCTCCCATGGACGTAACCCTAAAGTTAGGTGAATCATGTAAAATATTGTGTTGTGCGTGGATGTGTATGATTATTTTCTCCATATATGCTTGAGTTAATGTGATGTGAAGATACTTCCGCTATGTGAAGTGAATGAGGGATTTAATTTTCAACAACAATAAATCGTTGAATGGATTGGAGGGAGTTAATTATCCCCAACGTCAAGTGCTCCGAAATACACAAAGCGAAAGCTTAAGTTCTATGAAAAATAAGTCTAGGAATGTCAAATTTGGCGGCATCGGTTGCCCAAAGGAAGAAGAGGTCCGCGACAAGGCAATCATGACGGCCTTCTTCTAGGACATGCTCAAGTGGTCCTTGAAGCATTATGGTGGCCTTGAAGAAGTTGGGACTCATATTGTCAAAGATTTAATCGATGTTTTCACATCCTTGGGGCAAGCCAGCTTCCTTGGTAGGGAATTTGATGACACTTGGAAAGATTTGGGTATCCAAATGTTTTTGTTGTTTGGATTGATTTGGGGAAGATAGGGGTATTAAGAGGAGTGGTGACTATGGTTGTTTTAACACCACGTGAAACAAGTAGTTTAGCCATGTCCAAAATTGGTATCATGTGGTCTGGTGCCATTAATGGAAGGAGGAACACGTGAAGTTGACCTATTGAGAACAGGTTATGAAGAATTGAAGACAAACTGAGAAAAAAAAGTGAGAAATAAGCTAATTTTCTAGCTTTGTAAGTGTGTGTAATTCAATGAGTATTAGAGTATTTAGTACTCGTTTTTGTTTTAAAATAATTAAATACTTTGAAAATTGTGACTCACAAAATTATAAAAAGTTATCAGTAATAAAATTCTACTACAACTTTAGAAGCAAGTAGTATTGTTTACTTGTGTTGAGCATGGCCACGTGGTGTTGGAATTGTCATGTTGTGAATTGTGAAAGTCATGTAGTACGTGGTCAGCTTGAGAAGCTGGCCCACTGAGAACAAGGTATGGTTCATACATGTGGTCACCACGCAAAGAGAGAGATGTTTCAATATTATTTCCTCCCCAACAGGCATGGGCAGGTTCGCTTGTCGTTGTGGAGGAAGTAATGGGCGATTGAAACTTTCTTGACTTTCAGGGGACGTTGACAGCGCAACTACCAGGCAACTCTAGGGCATGCTTTGACTCTAGGGCACAATTGACATCACAAGGGCCTATATCGATCAGCTTGCAGATATTTTGATCTCAAATCATTTCCGGAATTCGTTCCTGTTTTCAGATTTGGATTTAGTGTAATTGGATGGATTGATCTATTTGAGGCTCGATTTGAGGTTGATTTCCCTGATTGCAATAAAAATGACTTGAAAGGTTAAGTAGTGTTGAAATTTCACCTTTAAGGTGGATTTAGAGTCTTTTGGGATTTTTCCGTCGCTGATTGGAATCGGAAGAAGGTCATTTCATGATTTTATGGATTTAGAATTATTCCAAGTGATAGAATCTCATTTTCGGAGTGGATTTGGAGTTTTAGGACTTCCTGATTTGGCCTGTTATTTCAGTTTACGAAATGGTAAAAATAGAGGGGGTGAAAGGAAATTTTTTTTTTTTTTTTTTTTTAAATATGCTATAAATGCATTTATGATTTAAAAATTGTGTGAGAACTTCCTTAAATAATTCTTTTGCAAAATTTGACATAAAATAATTGTAATATACTCATTTTATCCTTCCAAAAATGCTAGGGTATTTATTATCTATATTTGCTTCATGTAGGGCTTTTAAGTGCACATCAACCCTGTTGAACCCACTTTTGAGACTTTTATTATTATTTTTTTTTACAGCTTGATTTCTGGATCTATATATATATATATATATATATATATATATATATATATATATATTTCCCACGTAGCTTGTTCCGGCTGTCATGACTCATGCCTATCAAAGTTGATCCCCCATTATCCAAAATAAACATAACCCTCTTTAAATTTATTTATTTATTATTATTCTATCAGTCCCTAATTAGTAGTCCATTTTTTTTTTTTTTTTTTACATATTCCAAATTAATTATCCTTTTTAAAAAGTCAATACATCTTTTCATTATATTTTTATTATTGTCCTTTATCTTTTTAAAAAATTTCAAACTTTGTAACTATGTATATTTAAATTCAAACTTTGTAACTATATATATTTAAATTAAAAAAGAAAATTTGATAATTTTAAAAAGGACAATGCATTAATTGTATGTCTCTTTAAAAACTCTAATTTCTAAATATGGACTTCTATTTAGGGACATAAATACTATTATTATTATTGAAGCACATCCATGCATGCTTTATTTAGTATTTTTCAATTTTCAAGTTTGAACATGTTAGAACACGCTAGTAATGACTGGAAACCTATGCAGAAGCAAATAATGTTCTTCAGTCTTTTTAGCATGGCCTAGCTGCTAGCTCACCCAATTTTCTAGCAATTTTCCACCTTAATGATTAGTGTTAGCATTACAAGAACCACTGAATAATTTCAGGTCAATGCCCAGAAAATACTTTCAAATTTTTTGAATCAAATTCAGAAACTTACAACAACATCATGTACTAACTAATACAAGAAAAACTATAAAGCACAGCTGGTCAGGTTTTTATATGTTTTTGCGCTTGATAAGCACTCACTTCTTTTATCAAAGCATTCAAATCAGTGTACGATGATCCACCTTCTTCAACAGCCTTCCATGCCATCTCTTTAAGCGTTCTTGCTCTTCTTCTCCTCTCCTCGGCTTCTTCACCCGCCATAATCTCCTTCACTGCCTTCTCTATCGCTTCTCTTTTCACGCCGTCAATTGCCACTCTCTTCCATTGCTGAGAACCAACACAAACACCTATTTTCAAAATCTCAGTCACCAACTTCTCATTAAAGAACTGATCTGCAAAGAACGGCGCTGTCACCATTGGTACTCCGGCAGACACCCCTTCAAGCGTCGAGTTCCATCCACAGTGAGTCACAAAACCTCCCACTGCATCGTGATCAAGAATCAACACTTGAGGTGCCCATCCTCTTATTATTAGGCCCTTACCTTTTGTTCTCTCTTCAAATCCTTCTGGCAACCAATTTTCGTTGTCGTCCTCAATCTCGGCTTTTCTCACAACCCAAATGAATTCTTGTCCTGAAGCTTCAAGCCCCATTGCAATCTCATATAATTGGGAAGTAGCAAAGTCGGCACAACTTCCGAAGCATGCATAAATAACCGAATTTGGCTTCTTTGAGTCTAGCCATTTCAAGCACTCGAGTTTGTCAATGGATGTTTCTTTCCCTCTTTGTGCTTTGTCTTCAACTTCTCTATTGCATAGCGATACCGGACCTATGTGCCATGCCTTCCTGCCCAAAACCCTCCTGTAATGATCAGCATAAGCCGGTTCAAGCTCGTAGAAGCTGTTAACTACAACTCCAAAGCTTGTCATCTCTGTCTCTCTAGCTTTATCTAAAAACTTGCTAAAGTCTGTCTCAATATCTTCTTTGTCAAAATCTGCTAGTCGCATTTTAGTTATCTTAACCTCATGAGGAAGGTTAGGCACGATGAAGGGTTTGGAGTCTGATGAGACATTCTTCTGAGGCTTGTAGAGTCTCATGTTCTCCCCAGCACATAGAGCGAAAAAACTGATTCCATGAAAAACAATTCTAGGAATGCTAAATTTGGCTGCAACATCGGTTGCCCAAGGGAAGAACATATCCGCGACAAGGCAATCAGGACGGCCTACTTCTATGACATGCTCGAGTGGTTCTTGGAGCATATTGATGGCCTTGAAGAAGTTGGGAGCCATGTCTTCAGAGTGGATTTGATCGATGTTTTCGCATCCTTGGGGCAAGCCAGCTTCCTCTGCAGGGAATTTGATGACACTGATTGAGATTAGGGTACTCAAATTTTTGGTTCTTTGGATTGCTTTGGTGAAGATAGGAGCATTTAGAGGAGTGGTGATTATGGTTGTTTTCACACAATGTGAAGCAAATAGTTTGGCCATGTCCATAGTTGGTAACATGTGGCCATGTGCCATGAATGGAAAGAAGAAGACATGAAGCTGACCCATTGAGAACAAGTTATGAAGAAATGAGGATGATGAACCAAGAAAAGAAGAGTATTGCAAAATAGGTGTGTGTGACTGTGTGTGTCTATATATAGAAAGTATTTAGTTGCTAAAATAACTCTAGAGCTTTCCCCACAGAATGAAAGAAAAGCTGTTGTTATCTTTGTTCTAGAGTAACTGAAGATAAAGAAGTGAGTAACTGAAGAACATGCCTAAGAAATGAAAGAAGCAAGTATTGGGGGACTTATGTAGTTGTGTTGAGCATGGCCACATGGTGCTGGAATTGTCATTTTGTGAATTGTGATCCTGGGTCATACAACGTGCGGTCCACATGCACAGAGAGAGAGAGAGAGAGGGAGGGAGAGAACAGTATGTTGTTGTCGCTTCTCTGAAAAAGTTGATAACATACTCCCTTCCGTCACGCATTTTAACGTTAACCGAAGTTCGGTAGCATGTGTGAGGAGAGAAGATCCTATCTACAGTGTTGTGTGCATGATAAGCGGTCTCCAATCCACAGTAATACAGTATTGCGTACGTGAAATGCGGTGGAAATCATCTCACATGGGTGTAGTCTCCACCGACGGTATGGACCCTATCATATTAATGGTAGTGAAGTCCATCCTCGCTTGTGTATATAATATTGTGTTGTGCATAAGAAAAGATCTGACCCACATACAGAGTATTAGGTTTTAATTGATGGAATGATAGAAGTCTCTTTAAATAGTGGATAAGTGTAAGCAAGCTACGAATTTAAGTGAATGCGAATGGGTGTGTCTGGGAAGGAGTCCCCATTTCCGTTTAGCATAGTATTTTTCATTGGCTCATCTCCAACACGGTTTAGTGGGCCCCTCTTACCTAGTCCCCAGACGCTATTTAAATTCGTTCATCGCATTTCCAACATCGGTGTAGGACAGATTTTTTTTTATAATAAAATTAAGTTTATTTTATATTTTTAAAGAAATTTTAGTTTTAAGTAATTTTCTTATTTTTTTTAGTTAAGTTTATTTTATATTTTTAAAGAAATTTTAGTTTTAAGTAATTTTCTTATTTTTTTTAGTTTTCTTAAGCAATTAATTTCTTTTTTGCTATTAGTTAGGATTATATTTTATTATAAAAAAGATGTATTGCAATAGCATAGATATTTATTTAATTTTATCAATAATATTTTAATTACTTTGTAATTTTTATTCAACTTTTTGATTCAAAGTTACCACGTACCTTGTGGATTCAAGGTACTCTATCTTGTGTATTCAAGATAACACTTGTTCAATGTGAAAGTTAATCGCTTCCGCTTACGTTAGTTGGTATCAGAGTCTTGTCGTACCCTGGTCTGATGACGATTGCTTGTTTTGGTAACAACCGCTCTCACGACAATGATCGGGGAGTGTAGGCCCTTTGGTCAGCCATTGATGTTCGAGAATAGTAGTTGGATCGGATGGAGCGTATAGTACTGCAAATCCGACCGAGGCTCGGTGAACTTGGGATTATTGGCAACCAAGATCGTGAACCAGTTCGAGTTCACGCCGATAATGTTCATCACGGCCAATGGAATATGATTAACGTTCCTGTACCTTCACGTGAGCTTCTGGCCTATGCGAAGTATTATAGTGTCAACAATTACAAAAAGAAAAATAACGAAAATTTTGTAGAAGCAAATGATAATTCTCAAAAAGTTGATGGTAAGCAAAATTCTCTTGTTTCACTTCTTGTAATTAAACTTGATGTAGTTATAGAATTCAAATCGGCAACAGAAGCAGATGGTGACAATAAATCTAAGGTCAAAAGCAAGCAACATAAATTAATTATTGTCAGAGTGTTTCTCAAGTTCATCATAGTGTTTTATTTGAGGTGAAGAAATTTTCAGTTGAATTGGAGTTATAAAGAGCTTGAGGTGGAACTATGAAGAGATCCTTGTTCGAGGTAGAGCTATGAAGAAGCACGTTAATACTGAATTTTGAGTCAATGTGGAGATTATTGGGTTTGTGGCTCAAATTTGTATGCAGAAAATTAGTTTCCTTTTCCGTTTTGGAATGCTGAAATTTGTAAAGGAAATTGTGTCCCATTAAGTTTCTATTTTAGAATTGAAATTGATATGGTAACTCCTTGTATGCAAGTTAGGGATTACTTGTCCAATAAGAAATTGCATTTTGAAGACTCTATAAATAGAGATGGATGTGAGGGGTTTAGAGAGAGAGAGGGAAAAGAGAAAAGATATTAAGGGTTTAAGGGTAAGTGTTGTGAGGCGAGGGTAGAGTATATATAATTTCCGAGTGTATACATGTAGTCTCAAAAGAGATGATGAGTGAGTGAGTAGAGTTTTGACATATGGTTGTATATTCTATTTCTTAATTCATAATAATAAAATATCTCTCTCTAAACCCCTCACACTCATCTGTATTTATAGAGTCTTCAAAATTCAATTTTTTGTTGGACAAGTATTCCCTAACTTGCATATAAGGAGTTATCATATCAATCTCAACTCTAAAATAAAAACTTAATAGAACACAATTTCCTTCACAAATTTTAACATTCCAAAATGAAAAAAGAAATTAATTTTCTGTACACAATTTTGAGCTAACAAACCCAACAGAATTAAATGTCCAAAATGATGAAGAAGCTTGCTTTGATTCAGGTGAAGAAAAATCTATTATTGATAAAATAAATGATGGCAATATGATTTTTTTACGGCAGTGTGACATCGAGTAATGATGTGGACCCATATTTGAAGAGTAAAGATGATGATAAGGTGGAGGAGCTTAAGCACAAACATAGTGAGGATGTTGTCACTAATAGCGTGCACATCCATGCCCCAAATAACTCCTTGGACATGCTTAAATTTGTTTGATAGGTCCAATAATCAATATTTTGATTCTGAATCATGGTTCTGTGATTGGATATGGGATTCATTCCTTTGTACGCATGATAGAGGAAAATACCAAAAGCAAGATTTGAATTTGGTGATTTTACTTCAATGGTGCACACTCATAATCAATACTTTGGATATGCAACTGAGGCTGAATTCAATGAAAATATTCATGAACTCTTTTCTAAAGCTGTTGTCATGGTTTCTGAGGAAATTTATGAAGCATCAAGGGAAAGTTCTATGTGGTACAAAATTTTATTTATATTAATATATGATTAGTCACAAGGAAATTCGAGAACGAGTTTTTTTTTGAAATAAACGAGACTGGTTTAGGATAGATTTTAGTATTTTTTTATAAATTAGGTTTATTTATTTATTTTTATTTTATATTTTTAGAAAGAGTTTAGTTTTAGGTAATTTTTTTATATTTTTAGTTTCCTTAAGCAATTAGTTTCCTTTTTTGCTATTAGTTTCCTTTAAAGTTTTAAGATTTTATTTTATTATAAAGACATGTATTGCGATAGCAGAGATATTCATTCAATTTTATCAATAATATTTTAATTACTTTACAATTTTTATTCAACTTTGTGGATTCAAAGTTACCACCTTGTGAATTCAAAGTACTCTATCATGTGGATTCAAGATAACCCTTGTTCTATGTGAATGTTAATCGCTTTTGCTTACATCAATTGCTCAATTAATATTATTTTTTAAAATTAACTTTTGTAAGGGTTCTTTACTCTTACAAGCTCAAGAAAATAAAAGAGAAATCAAATAAAATATGTGGGACCAAAAAGAAGGTAAGCTAGACAAGCCAAAGGAATCTTTGGTGAACCGTGAAGATAGGAACGCTCCCCTCTATGTACTAGTGTTGTGTTGTTATGCCTTTAATGAATGCACTAAAGGTTGCATTTGTAGCCCTAGGTCATTAGGTAATACCGTAATACTAAATAGTTGTTTGTTGAGCTTACCTTTTTAACTAAGGTACATTGGTAGGTTATGATGGTTTTTTTCCACCTAAGTGGTCAAGTCACACCTTGAGTCATGCCCCAAATTGGTGTGACGTGTTAGCTTTAACAGTAACATTAAATGCATTCGATGCTTAATAACAGTGGTAGTTGAAAGTATTAAATGTGATTGTAAAGGTCTTCATTGAGGCATACGGTTCTCCATCCCTTGAACTTAGCCCATTTATCGAAGTTAGGGAAGTTTTGACTTCTCATCTTCCAATCTAAAAATCCTTCTAAGAATCCTAAAAGGAAAATATGAGTATTTGATATGAACATACCTTCACCTTGCTTTATACTACACAATCCTTACGGCCCGAGTGTTGTGTTTATGAAGCTTAATAACCTAGTTTGGTGCCTAGGTTCGAACTCGAGTGTTGTTTCTTCGATATTTTTTATTACTTAATCATGATGTCAAGGTTTCTTCTGACTTTCCAACGGTATGCTTTGTGGGCCATGGATGCCATATATGTAGGTTGTCTTTCACTTTTCAATGTGCTAAGTGGCCGGCACTAATTGATTATTAAGTTTTGTCACGACCCGAATTTTCTAAATAAAATTTCTCAATTTATTCAAATACAAAAACATCATAATAGACACCCAGGATCTCAAAAGAAATAAAATATCATTTATTTGATACAAAATCAATTTCCTCAAATAAATACAACATCTTTAAATAAATTAAATAATCATCAACGCCAACTCTTCCACCTAAACCCATAACTAGCAATCCACGGTACCTGAAACTGAAAGGGGGTGAGTAACCTGTATTACTTGTAGGGAATGAGCATGCATAGATCTAACTTTTTACAAGTTTATCACATTAATGTGAAACAATTCATAAGGTTCATGCCACCTAACGTCTATATCAAAAGTGAGACTCATGGATCATCCTAAGCTTCTTTAAAGCATTTTTAACATAAACCACATCATGTATGCAATTTAAACAACATAAGAGCATGCGGTACAACGCAACAAGATATTCAATATACAAGTATGCATACAAAAGTACACAATTAATATTAAAATGCACGTAAAACAAGTATATGAGACATAAGTATACTAGGTTATCTATCTTACTAAATCATCAATATACAAGTGTACACACCAAATACGCTAAACAATATTGAAAAGGAAACGCGACATACATTCAAGTATACATTCCTAAGTATATTAAGCAATATAAATGTATATGGAGTACAAGTATACAACCTCAATTATACTAAGCAATAATGAAATATCACGCACCAAACCACAAGCTAAAAGTAATCAATGATTAACAACTTGGAATTAAATGCGAAATCAACAAATGGCGGAAAGACAAAGGACATACGGTCTCAATGACTAAGCAAGTGATCTCAGGTTACTAACCCGCAAGGTACTACCTAGTGCGCACTAAACCCAGAATAAAATCGTAATGTTGGTGTTTTTAAGTTACTAGCCCTCAAGGTACCACCCAGTGCGCACTATATAATATACAGGGAACTTTTATGCCCCGTACTAGAGCCATGTCCTAACCGTAACTTATTACAATGTCCATACAAGCTTTCCTAAAATCATCAAGTTATGCAACAAGTATATCACATATACGCAATGCACATCATCAATTACCATGCATAACCAAGTCATGGTATTCACACAAAAGATGCTCTAGGCATTCAAGCTACAATGACATATTAAATGTCATATAAGTAAAATGGTTATAGTAACAAGTTAAATCATAACTTTAACTCATGGAATAATATCATGTAATCATACAATAAGTTCCAAATTATAAATTAAGCAAGAATACAACATCAATGCCTAATTACCTC